CTCCCATTGAACCCCCCGTCTTTGGGAGCCCCGCCCCACAGAGACCCCCCCCCATTGGGGACCCCATAGGGACCCCCGTCTTTGGGTCCCCCCATAGAGACCCTCATTTTTGGGGACCCCCCTCTCCCCAGTGAAGCCCCCACGCTGGGGACCACGGCCCCATGGAGACCCCATGGAAGCCCCCAGTTTTGGACCCCACCCCTTGGGGACCCCCCAGAGACCCTCATTTTAGGGGTCCCAGCCCCATAAGGACCCCCCATTTTTGGGATCCCCATTTTTGGGACCCCCATTTTAGGTGACCCCCACCCCACAGAGACCCCATTTTTGGCAACCCCACCCCACAGGGATCCCCCATTTTCAGGACCCCCATTTTTGGGGACACCCCCCCATGGAAACCCCACAGAGACCCCCAGTTATCGGACCCCTCCCTCCCCTGATGAGCGTGCGATGCGCGTGCAAATGAGCGTGCAAGGAGCGTGCAGCGGTGCGATGGGTGGGATGGCGCGAGGGGGGGGTCCCGGAAATTGGGGGGGGGCACCCACCTGAAGGCCTTACACACCTGTGCACACTCACCCCGTCCCTTGCACACCCGTGCACACTCATTCTCCCAGAGGCCTTGCACACTTGGACTAGGACTTGCACGCCCACATGTGGTGCTTTACAGGAGGGATTTGCACACTTCCTTGCACACCCTTGCACGTGCCCCTTGCACTCTCATCTCCTGTGCACACTCATTGCACACCAGTGCCATTCAAACCCCTTTGCACACTGGCATCACTTCTTGCAAACCCTTTGCACACTCATTGCACATCAGTGCCGTTCACATCCCTTGCACACTGCTCTGACCCTTTGCACACCTGCTGCTCTCTTCTCGCACAACAGCACCACCCCTCACACAACCCTTTGCACACTCCTTGCACAACAGTGCCGTTCAAACCCCTTTGCACACTGCCATCACTTTTTGCACACCCATTTGCACACTCGTTGCACACCAGTGTCTCTCCCACCCCTTGCACACACCTCACACACCCATTTGCACACTCATCCTTGCACACCCATGTACGCACTCACCCTTGCACACCTCTCGCACACCCATTTGCACACTCACTCCTTGCACACATACCGCACACCCATTTACACACTGACCCCTCCCAAAACGAAGCCCTCTGTGCAGGTGCCCCCCCCCCTCCGGGCGCCACGTTCCCCCCTTTTGCACACGCGTGTGCACTCAGCCCCCCCCCACCAACCTTGGATGGCGGCCATGGGGCGGGGGGCCATGAGGGCGGGGCTCAGCCCCCCCAGCACCGCACCCCTACACAGACACAGCGCGCTGGCAGCCATCCCATAATCGTCCATCACAGCCCACCCCACAGCGCGCCATCCCATAATATCCCACCCCGCCATCCACTTCCCGCAATGCTCCATCCCATAATATCCCGTAACCTCCCCCATAACCCCGTAATCCCCCCACAATCCCATAATCCCCCCCATAATCCCACCCCAAAACCCCCGAGTCCCACAGTCCCCCAATCCCACAACCCCGGACTCTCACCCCATAACCCCATACCCCCCCAATACCCCCCATAACCCCCCCAATCCCACAACATCACAAT